AAGCACATGCCTGTCTGAGGGGACAGCACAGCTATGCCCAGTAGAATGATGCCACTGGAGAACATGGGACCTATCAAGAGTAGCTGGGAGTCCAGCTTCTTCTGTGAAATCTCTCTTTTTTTTTTTTTTTGAGACCGAGTTTCGCTCTTGTTGCCCAGGCTGGAGTGCAATGGCGCGATCTTGGCTCACCGCAACCTCCGCCTCCTGGGTTCAGGCAATTTTCCTGCCCCAGCCTCCTGAGAAGCTGGGATTACAGGCACGCGCCACCATGCCCAGCTAATTTTTTGTTTTTTTTTTTTGTTTGTTTTTGAGACGGAGTTTCGCTCGTTACCCAGGCTGGAGTGCAATGGCGCGATCTCGGCTCACCGCAACCTCCGCCTCCTGGGTTCAGGCAATTCTCCTGCCTCAGCCTCCTGAGTAGCTGGGATTACAGGCACACGCCACCATGCCCAGCTAATTTTTTGTATTTTTAGTAGAGACGGGGTTTCACTATGTTGACCAGAGTGGTCTCGATCTCTTGACCTCGTGATCCACCCGCCTCGGCCTCCCAAAGTGCTGGGATTACAGGCTTGAGCCACCGCGCCCGGCCGATTTTTTGTATTTTTAGTAGAGACGGGGTTTCACCATGTTGACCAGGATGGTCTCGATCTCTTGACCTCGTGATCCACCCGTCTCAGCCTCCCAAAGTGCTTGGATTACAGGCTTAAGCCACTGTGCCCAGCCCGAAATCTCTCTTTTTAAAGCTGACAGTGCATCCAGTGTTTTTTTATTGGGTCAAGAAAGCCCACCCATGCATTTATCCCTAGAAAGGGAGCTCCCACCAATGGTAACAGGAGGGGTCATGCCAGTTCAGCTTCTCTCCTGACTGAGCTGCCTGCCCCAGGTCTCAAGAGATTCAAAGCCCGCCACTTGGGTAGCAGAGCTGTCAGGGTGCCCACTCTCTTCCTCTCCAGGCCCTGAGCAGGTACGTTGACCTGGACAGAGACTGCCTGCCTGTGGCCCTCTGACCAGAGGTGGATCGGGCCTGGCGGGGCCCTAACCATGTCATCCTCGTTCTCTGGCAGGTCCGGCTGATGCAGGAATCTGTCCGAAGGATAATCGAGGCAGAAGAGTCCAGAATGGGTAAGAACATGTGTCCTCTCTTGGGCCAGGGTGGGTGCTGGGGGTCTCCAAGCTGCACAGGGAGGTGCCCAGAGGAGGCCTTCCTCTACTGTGAGTCCGTCCTCAGGGCTCATCATCGTTAATGCCTGGTACGGGAAGTTTGTCAATGACAAGAGCAGGAAGAGCGAGAAGGTGAAGGTGATTGACGTGACTGTGCCCCTGCAGTGCCTGGTGAAGGATTCGAAGCTCATCCTAACGGAGGCCTCCAAGGTACAGCAGCACCAGCCACCATGTGCCAACTGTTCACATATCTGAACAGGCTGGATGCAGCGACTCATGCCTGTAATCCTAGCACTTGGGGAGGCCAAGGTGGGCGGATGGCTTCAGCCCAGGAGTTCGAGATCAGCCTGGGCAACATGGCAAAACCCTGTCTCTACAAAAAAGAGAAAATTAGCCGGGTATGGTGGCATGTGCCTGTCATCCCAGCTGTTCGGGAGGCTGAAGTGGGAGGGTTGGTTGAGCCCAGGAGGTTGAGGCTACAGTGAGCTGTGATAGTGCCGCTGCACTCCAGCCAGGGTGACAGAGCAAGACCCCGTCTCCAAAACAAAAAGTGTTTTGAAGAACAGGTTCAGTCTGACAAGGACAGCCTGGCCCCTTGCAGTGGAATCTTTGCTGTCATCAGCATCTACTGCATGGGATGCTGCCCAGAGTAATACCCACGTTGGAGCTATTCGCTTCATTCAGTCATTTCTTTCATCCACTCACTCAGTAAGGATTTACTGAGCTCCTGCTGTATGCCAGCCACACCAGCAAACACACAGCTGCCTTCATGGCATGTGATTCTGTTTATTTTTGCCTTGTTCCAAAAAGAACGTGAGTTCACTTGTAATGTGTGGATCTCACCTCTGGGGTCTGGGGCCTTGCATCCATGAAAATGCAGGTTAGCTCAGGCCAGAGAGCTCCTGGCTCCCTGGAAGTTGTCTAGTGTCTCTGTCTTGGTGGGCTTTCTGTGAAGATAGAGGTCTACTTGGTATAAGGAAGGGACCTTACTAAGAAGCAAGTCTTGGCAACCTTTCCAGATACTTGTTTCTTTTTCTTCACGCTCCAAAGTCTGCATCTCCCCAGGGAAGGCCGTGCACACTGCACCTCCGCTGGTAGTGAGGAGTGAGCGCTGGGCCTTACACCCTGTGGAGTATCTGGAGTATTTAGAGTAGCAATTTGTTTGTTACAGGCTGGGCTGCCTGGCTTTTATGACCCGTGTGTGGGTGAAGAGAAGAACTTGAAAGTGCTCTATCAGTTCCGAGGCGTCCTGCATCAGGTGATGGTGCTGGACAGTGAGGCCCTCCGGATACCAAAGCAGTGTGAGTAGCCGTCCCTTGGCAGCCACTAGCTAACGGGGGCGGAGACCTCACGGTGGCTGCTCAGTGTGTGGGCTTCCAGCCACCTTCCCTCAGCTGCCTGCTTGGGAGCAGAGATGCCAGCTAGCCCTTGACCCATGATTCACTCAGAGCCCATGATTTGTGCCCTGAGAAAGGGTGCTGGGGCCCTTTCACAGGTCGAATTGGAGGGAGCTCTTTGGAGCATGCAGCTTGAATGGCGGGGGGATGGAAGCAGACCTCCAGGTTCCAGAAGCAGCTGAGTTTCAGCAGCTGGTGCCCTGTGTTTCCCCATCAGGAGAAAGGGGCATGGGAACGGCCACCTTCTAACCACCTGCGTCTGTCTTTTCTTTTACAGCCCACAGGATCGATACAGATGGATAAACTGCCTGAGAACCAGATTTTTAAAAGGCTGCAAAAAATCTTTTCTTCCTGGGAGTCTACAAATTTGGAAGCAGGGAAAAAACCCAGACATCAGATGTTTTTATTTTATATTATTATTATAGGAGGTGGTACCATATCAATTATGTGAAGGGACACGCAGACACCCCAGCTTTCGAGGGTGCTGGGGGTGGGACTGAGGCAGCCCCACTGGGAACCAGACTGCAGTGTGGCCATGGCTGTTTTCCCAAGGATTGGTTCCTGGAGGGAAGGGCGCTGGCCTTGACTCCGCCGGGTCCCCTGAGCACACGGGCTGACCGCAGCGCGCCGCCCTGTAGCTCTTGGTTGTGTCTGGAGGTGTTTGTGGAACACCCTGCCCACACCACAGGAGCGTGAGCCGCTTTTCCTGAAGTCCACGCCGAACGTGGGGAACAATGTGGAAAGGCAGGCAGGCCTCCAGGTCAGGGAGCGTCTGCTGGGCTGACTTCCCACGACCACCTTCTCCTGCTGAAATATTACTGCGTGAATCTGGAGCGGATTGCGGGTTTATAAAACTGCTTTTTAACTGAGAACAAACAGGTTTGGAAATTAGTCTTTTTTCCCCACTCCCAGAGCTGCTCAAATCATTCCAGCGGCCCCCTCAGCTTGGTACAGGGTAGTGTAACTCCCGATCCCAGGGCCTGTCCCTGACGAGGTGGCTTCCTGTATCCCTGTGGGAAAACGCCCTGCCACCAGCAGGCTCGAGCTGGCTTCTGTCCCTCCACCGCCTGTACCACCCACCTCGAGTGCCATGCTGGGCAATGGCAGCTTGAGAGGACAGGGCCAGGCACTTACAAGGGTGGGCAAGACCTCAGACACCGAACTCGGAGGTGTGGACTCCAGGCCTGGCCCATGGCACCCAGCAGGTGGCACTGCAACCCGCTGCTCCTGCAGGTCCTGAGTCCTCACAGGGAACCAGGGCCTGTGCTCCGGAGTCGCCCTTCAGACCCTTCCCTCACGTGCCCAGTTGGGATGCAGAATGCAGCATCGACAGCCTGAGCTTTGGCTGCAGTAGTTTCCTGAGGCCTGTCTCATGGGTCCTGGAAGTGGCAGCCATCAGTCGCTCTCGCTGACCCCTCAGAGTGAGTACCACACAGGCGGTGGCCGAGACAGCTGGCCCGGGGGCCCCAAAGCTGCGCCAGCCTCCAGCCCACCCACGGCTGTTGCTAGTCAGGCCTCCCCCCAGCACAGGCATCTGAGTAACGGCCAAGAACCTCCTTCTTCTGGTTTTGAGAAGCACTTCAGATTGTCCAATTCTGTAACATCCATCTCCATTTTTTAGAAACGTTTCCCGATGATAGCCCCACGGCCTGAGCCGCGGTGAGCGTCATGTTGCATGAGCCTGGGCCCCGGGCTTCCCGTGTGCCTCTGCCACAGGCGCCTCCGGGCACCCATCCTCTGCGTTCCGCTTGCAGTCGACTGTACAGAAGGCACTCACCACAATAAACCTTTCCTGAAAGCAGAGGGTGGCGCTCTTCCATTTATCTTGTGTTCATCTTCAAGAGCGAGCAACGTTAAGGGGGGGGGTGCCCCACCCCTTCCCCAGAGGCCTTCTCCCCAGCCTTCAGTCAACCACAGGCCTTCACCTGAAGCTGGGGTTTCATTTTCTACATTAAACATTTACCCATGCCAGAAATGTGGCCCCCTCAAAAAAACAAAAATGGAAAGATTTAAAAAAAAAAAAAAAAAAAAATTTGCCTGAGAAATAGACCCCAAGTTAGGAAAGCAGTTTGGCTTGAACTTTTGTTTTCTCTTTAACTCACTAAAATTATAAATTACATGAAATAGGAAGTCTTTTTTTTTGGAGACAGTCTCTGTGGCCCAGACTACAGTGCAGTGGCACTATCTCAGCTCACTGCAACCTCTGCCTCCCAGGTTCAAGTGATCCTCCTGCCTCAGCCTCCCCAGTAGCTGGGACTACAAGCATGTGCCACCATGCCTGGCTAATTTTTGTACTTTTTCGTAGAGATGGGATTTCACCATGTTGGCCAGGCTGGTCTCAAAGGGCTGGGATTACAGGCATCAGCCACTGCACCCAGCCATGGAAGTCAGTCTTTTAGAAGGAATCACAGCAGGAGAGAAAACAAAATGATGGAAGCAACATCATATAGAAAGACACTTTATTACACTGCCCACTCACACCAGCCTGGGACAGGAGTCACTCAAAACCCTGAGCAGCTGTCCAGGCTGATGGAGGCAGGGACCCACTCACTTGCCACAGAGCCGGCCAGTGCTCCCCCACGTGGCTTCCTCAGGAGCATCTCCCACACTGGGGCTTCCAACTGTACTCGCTCGGAAAGGACAGTGTCCAGAACCAGCTTCAGCCTGGGCTTCTGTTGCCGTGGGAGGATAAGCTTGTCATGCCATGGATGTGCACTCCTGGTGCCATGCCTCTAAACGTCCCCCAGAAGCTCTTGCCGGGGAGCTTAACCACTGTCCCAGTCCCCCACCCAGCAGGCCTTATGGCCAACTTTCTCAGTATCCATAGCACACAGAAATGTCCACAGCCAGAGGTGCAAAGCCCTGCCAGCCCTGGTGCCTCTGCCACCTGTGTGTCCAGAGCCCATGGGGCTCAGCTCTGCTGCTCTGGCCGAAGTCTGGCCTGGAGTCCCCAGTGCCCTTTGCAGGCTCGGAGGTGGGTGGACATCCTTTGCATCACCAGCCTCTGGGCCTGCAAGCGCTTCCGAAGCTTTTCATTTTCCTTCAGAGTGAGGAAGAGTTTTTTCTTCAGGGAATCTAAGTCCAAAAGGGCGTAGCTGTGATCAGACGGCTGCTTGTTGCGGGGCCTTCTCAGGCCTGCAGGGCCGGCCAGCCAGCCAACAGCCTCTGTTGCTTGCGGCCTCTGTGGCAAGACCTGAGGACGGGGAAATGAGAGCTGAGGGCTGCCTCACCAGCAGAAGGCGGGCCAGGGCAGGCCACCAGACACATCCAGCACACCCTGCCCCGGGCAGCCAGATGCTCCTGGCTGCTCTCCTGAAATCCAGATGTTTCCACACCATGGTGGTGAATTATACTGGGAAGCTCTGCAACCAAGGCTGCGCACCCTGCCTCAGCCACACGGCTTTCATGTGGTGTGTGCTCAGGACACCGGTTTCCATCGCATTTGGAGCACTGGCCACCTCTGTACTCAGTCTTACCTGTTTTACGGGTCCTGTGGCATTTGGAGGCAACTGAAGCTCCTCGAGCGCAGTGTTCATGTTTCTCCCAGGGCCATCCTCTCCAGCCCCCGCCTCAGGGAGGACCTGGGAACAGCAGGGTGGAGTCCAGAACTATAGCCCTGCAGATGCATTTGGGGCCCTGCTAAAGCTGCTACTTGTCCCTCTGGGGGAGTGGCAACAGCCAGGGACCAGCTCCAGGGTCTGTGCCCCTGCACAAACAGCCAGCCTCTTCCTAACACTTTTATTTTTTGAGACAGTCTCGCTCTGTCATCCAGGCTGGAGTGAGTGGTATGATCTTGGCTCACTGCAACCTCTGCTCCGGGGTTCAAGTACTTCTTATGCCTCAGCCTCCCCAGTAGCTGGAATTACAGGCGACCACCACCATCCCCAGTGAAATTATTTTTTTTTTATTTTTTTTTTTTTTTTGAGACAGAGTTTCACTCTTGTTACCCAGGCTGGAGTGCAATGGGACAATCTCGGCTCACTGCAACCTCCGCCTCCTGGGTTCAGGCAATTCTCCTGCCTCAGCCTCCTGAGTAGCTGGGATTACAGGCACACGCCACCAAGCCCAGCTAATGTTTTGTATTTTTAGTAGAGACGGGGTTTCACCATGTTGACCAAAATGGTCCCGATCATCCTTGTGATCCACCCGCCTCAGCCTCCCAAAGTGCTGGGATTACAGGCAGGAGCCGCCACGCCCAGCTCAGCTAATTTTTATAGTTTAAGTAAAGATGGTGTTTTACCACGTTGGCCAGGCTAGTCTCAAACTCTTAGCCTCAAGAAATCCACCCACCTCCCCCAAGTGCTGGGATTACAAGTGTGAGCCACCATACCCAGCCCTGAAACTGAACTTTAAGAAATCAGGCGGGGGGGCACGGGGAAGGGGGCAGTGACATCAGGCACAGCGAGGTGCGGTGGCTGCCACCTATAATTCAGCACTTTGAGAGGCCACGGCAGGAGAATCTCTTGAATCCAAGAGTTTGAGACCAGACTGGGCAAGAGAACAAGACCCCCACCTCTACAAAACAATTTTTTTTTTAATTAGCTGGGTGTGGTGGCATATGCCTATGGTCCCAGCCACTTGGGAGGCTGAAATAGGAGGATGGCTTGGTTCTGGAAGGATGAGGCTGCCATAAGTCATGACTGTACCACTGAACCGAGCCTGAGCAACAGAGTGAAACCTGCCTCAAAAAAAAAAAACGGTTGGGCGCAGTGACTCCAGTAGTTTGAGACCAGCCTGGGTAAAATAGCAAGACCCTATCTCTACCAAAAAGGGGGTCCAGGCATGGTGGCTCATGCCTGTAATCCCAGCACTTTGGGAGGCTGAGGCAGGTGGATCACTACAGGTCAGGAGTTGGAGACCAGCCTGGCCAATGTGGTAAAACCCCATCTCTACTAAAAAAAAAAATATAAAAATCAGCCAGACATGGTGGCAGGCATCTGTAATCCCAGCTACTTGGGAGGCTGAGGCAGGAGAATCGCTTGAACCTAGGAGGAGGCTGCAGTGAGCCAAGACTGCACCCCTGCACTCCAACCTGGGTGACAGGGTGACAAAAGCGTGACTCCGTCTCAAAAAAAAAAAGAGAGAATCAGGCACCATCCTTACTAGCAACTGAGATTCTTTGATATCGAAAAGAAGGAAGCTCAGAGGCTTAGACCTTCCCTCCGGAAAAACAGGGAATCCAAACTGGCATATGAGGAAAGGCAACAGCCCCACAGGCCGGCCTCACCGGCAAAATGCCACCTTCCTGTCTCAACCCACAGCGTAATGTAAACATTCCAGCACCTGGCCCAGTGCACTCACCTTTTCTTTCTGAGAAGAGCTGGCATTTCCTCTCTCACTGGCAGGGTCTGTGTTCTCCCTCACCTGCTGCAAGAGACACACAGAGAGTGGACGTGGACCCCAAGAACACTCAGAGCTCGGGCAGGCCTTGGGCATTATGGTTGTCCCCAGTGCTCGGCCCACTGCGTGCCACAATCAATGAACGTTTGCTAAATTAAACTGACCTGAAGCTCAACCCAACTCACACTGCCTACCTGGTCCGCCTTCCCTTTATCAAAAGATATTCCCAAATCATGGTCAGAGTGCCCTGAATAGGTCCTTGTAGAGCTAGGGAGCAATGTACTTCCTATGCGTCACCCTAAGGCAGGCGTCCCCACACTATGGCCCGCGGGCCGCATGTGGCCCCCTGAGGCCATTTATCTGGCCCCCCGCCGCACTTCAGGAAGGGGCACCTCTTTCATTGGTGGTCAGTGAGAGAAGCACACAGTATGTGGCGGCCCTCCAACGGTCTGAGGGACAGTGAACCGGCCCCGTGTAAAAAGTTTAGGGACGCCTGCCCTAGGGCCTGGCACCCTGCCCCACAACCACCAGCAAGCAGAAGGCCAGCTCACCACTCGAGGTGCCACCGACGCAGAACCTGCGGCCCCTGGGCTGGGCCAGTGCAGGGACCACATGGTGTGGAGCTGACAGGGGCTGTACCCAGCTTCTGCCCACCACCTGGCTCTGGAAGCACCGAGGGCTACAATGACAAATGTCCCCCACTCCTTGTGGCTCAACCGTCATCTTTCCAGGACAAACATGTCATAGCAAACACATGAAGGTGATTAAACTGCTTGTCTGTGGACACACACCTCAAGCACCTGCCCTGTGCCAGCCAGCGTCCCGGGTGTGGAGCCTGAAGCAGGGAAAGCAGCCCCTGCCCTCGTGAAGCTCCTGTTCCAGGGAGAAAACAAAACCAGCGAGGGAAACAGGAAGGACAGCGGGGGCCCCAGGGGCCAGGAACCGAGGGGCAGGAAGGGGTCAGAGGCCAGCAGGGATGTGAGGGTCCGGGAGGGCTTCCCGAAGAAGGGACGGCCGACCTGAAGAGGGTGAGGCAGCACTCGTGAGGCCATCTGGAAAGGCTGCTGGGGCAGATGGGGCAGGGGCTCCCAGGCGGCCGCTCTGGATGTGTTGGCTATGCAGCCACCTTGTTCTTCCCATGGGCTCCACTCTTCACTCATGGGTCCCTTTCCTCTCCCAATAAATCCACCAGTACAGGGAGCTGCTGGCCTGTGGCTTGTCCGGCCACCATTCTGCCTGCCCACTACAGGTAGGTGCCCCTGTGGCCTAGAATCCAATCTCAAGGCTTCAGCATCCAACTCTTCGTGAGCTCTCTCCTGAGCCAGGCCCACACGGCCCACCTCCACCAAGGCAATCTCGGCTCACTGCCACCTCTGCCTTCATTCAAGCGATTCTCCTGCCTCAGCCTCCCGAGTAGCTGGGATTACAGGCATGTGTCACCACACCCGGCTAATTTTTGTATTTTCAGTAGAGACGGGGCTTCAACACGTTGGCCAGGCTGGTCTCAAACTCCTGACCTCAGGTGATCCACTCGCCTCAGCGTACCAAAGTGTTGGGATTACAGGCGTGAGCCACTGTTCCCAGCCATAGAATGATTTCATCTTTAAAGCGGCTTTAAATTATGACTTTTAAAGCCGAGGTCACGGCCGGCAGAGCCAGAGGGCTGTGGACCCCGGAGGCATGACAGTGCGGTTGTCACTGGAGGTCCTGGCCTTGGCTTTGCCCACACATGCCACCACCACCACTGCACCCAGCTGCCGGTGGGCGGTGAAGGCTGGATGTGAGCAGACCAAGAGGCAGCGCGCCCCTACCTGCGTGGGGTCCTGAAAGGCGAACACCGTGGGCACGGCATTGTGCTTCAGGTTCTTGCGGTTTCCGAAGGCACTGAAGCACTCTGGCCGGAAGTGCTCGGAGCAGATGACCGTGTGCTGCTTGGGCTTGAAGTTGCCCCGGCCAATGTTCAGCACCCATTCCTTCAGCAGCTCCGGGCGGCTGAACGGAAACCTGAGGGCAGAGGCGGGGAGGTGAGGCCCGGCAGACTGGACCCAGCCCCTCGGCGTCACACAGAATTTTCTTTTTTTTTTTTTTTTTTTTTTTTTTTTGAGACGGAGTTTCGCTCTTGTTACCCAGGCTGGAGTGCAATGGCGCGATCTCGGCTCACCGCAGCCTCCACCTCCTGGGTTCAGGCAATTCTCCTGCCTCAGCCTCCTGAGTAGCTGGGATTACAGGCACGCGCCACTAAGCCCAGCTAATGTTTTGTATTTTTAGTAGAGACGGGGTTTCACCATGTTGACCAGGATGGTCTCGATCTCTTGACCTCGTGATCCACCCGCCTCGGCCTCCCAAAGTGCTGGGATTACAGGCTTGAGCCACCGCGCCCGGCCCACACAGAATTTTCACATCATCGCAGAGTATTTCACTGAGCAGCTGTGGACATTCAGTCCTCTCACTTTGTTAAATCACATCTAATTTCTGGAAGCTTCTGTCACAGCTGTTAAAGCGTCCTTAATAGGAAACCCAAGACCACAAGCATGGCCAGAGAGCCCAAGTGAGCCATTTCCGATGCTACATTTGCCAGGAGCCTGCCAGGAACCAGGCCCTGTTTCGGTGCTAGGGATGGGGGGTGATGAGACAAAGTCCTTGCCCCCATGGAGCCAATATTCTGGAGAGGGGGCACAGCCGACGAGCCACACAGATGTGGACTGTATCTTGCGGGGATGACAGCTGCTCCAGAGAACAGACAGAGGAAAGCCCTGGGGTGGTCAGGAAAGGTAGCTGAAGGGGCAAGGTTGGAGCACAGACCATGGAAGTAGGAGCACAAGCCTTGAGGGGCTGGGGGGAACAGTAGGAGCAGCCACCCATGCAGGTCTGGCTGAGACAGCAAGAGAGAGTGGGGACTGCATGACGCAAGGCCCTGAGCAGCTGGGGAGCCCCTGGAGGCTCTAGGCAGAGGTGAGATGGAACCTGAGTCCACCCTGGCTGCTGTGGGACCAGGCGCCGGCAGGAAGTGGTAATGAGAGGGCAGATTTGGATGTATTTTGAAAGCCATGCAGTAAGGTCTGCCTGTAGACGGTGAAATAGAGAAGGAAGAAGTTTCATGTTTGAGATAAAAGAAGTTACAGGAGGGCAGGTTTACGGGATCAGAAGTTTGTTTTGTAGAAGCTTAGCGTGGTGACTTAATCTCAGCACTTTGGGAGGCCAAGGCAGGCAGACTGCCTGAACTCAGAAGTTAGAAAACAGCCTGGCCAACATGGCAAAACCCCATCTCTACTAAAAATACAAAAATTAGCCCAATGTGTTGGCACACTCCTGTAATCCCAGCTACTTGGGAGGCTGAGGCGGGAGAATCCCTTGAACCAGTGAGGCAGAGGTTTCAGTGAGCTGAGATCGCGCCACCGCACTCCATCTGGGCAACAAATTGAGAGTCCGTCTCGGGGGAAAAAAAAAAAAAAAAAACTTTGTTTCATATGTTAGGAGTTAAATTCTAGGTGCTTTTTAGGTTACCCATCTGCTGGCGTGACAGGTGGCCACACGCAACTGGAGACGTCAGTGTGCAGGACGACCCTGCAGAACCGATAAGCTTGGCTGAGATCATCCCCTGGGGAGCAAGTGTGGACAGAGGCCACCCAGGCCACATCCCCACCCCAGGGCTCCCAACACTTAGTGCTGGAAATAAGGAGGAGCCAGCAAAGGAGACTGAGAAGGGACACCTGTGGCTGAGAAGTGTCCCAGACACCTTGTGGGAGAAGTGACCCAGGGTCAGGGGTCAGTTGTGTGAAATGCTACACATAGCAGTCATTAGCATCACAAGGCTCACCAGTAACGTGATAGAGCTCTCATGGGAGTGGAGAGAACAGCTTCAAGAGAGGAGTGGCAACTCCATCCCCAGGTATATACCTAACAGAAGCAGACAGACAGATGCACCACAACACAAGCTCCAGCAAAACTGGCCAGAACAATGTTTTGTTTTTAAGATGCAGTTTCGACTCGGCGTGGTGGCTCATGTCTGTAATCCAAGCACTTTGGAGGCTAAGGTGGGCGGATCACCTGAGGTCGGGACTTCAAGACCAGCCTGACCAACATGGTAAAACGTCATCTTATTTTATTTTATTTTATTTTATTTTATTTTATTTTTGTGAGACGGAGTTTCGCTCTTGTTACCCAGGCTGGAGTGCAATGGCGCGATCTCGGCTCACCGCAACCTCCGCCTCCTGGGTTCAGGCAATTCTCCTGCCTCAGCCTCCTGAGTAGCTGGGATTACAGGCACGCGCCACCATGCCCAGCTAATTTTTTGTATTTTTAGTAGAGACGGGGTTTCACCATGTTGACCAGGTTGGTCTCGATCTCTCGACCTCGTGATCCACCCGCCTCGGCCTCCCAAAGTGCTGGGATTACAGGCTTGAGCCACCGCGGCCGGCCCATCTTATTTTAAAAAAAAAAAAGAAAAGAAAGAAAAAAAGATGGAGTTTCACTCTGTCGCCCAGGCTGTGGAGTGCAGTGGTGCAACCTCGGCTCATCCCAGCATCAAGTGATGCTCCTGCCTCACCCTCCCAAGTAACTGGGATTTCGGGCAAGCACTACCACACCCAGCTAATTTTTGTATTTTTAGTAGAGATGGGTTTTCACCATGTTTCAGGCTGGTCTCAAACTGCTGACCTCAGGTGATCCACCAGCCTTGGCCTCCCAAAGTGCTGGGATTACAGGTGTGAGCCACTGCAAGCAGCCGCCAGAACAATGGTATTTGTCATTCAAAAAGTGGGGCCACCCAAATGCCCCTTCAATTGTAGAACAATTCGGTATGTTCTGATACTTGCATTCAATAGAATACTATGCAGCAATGAAAGGGAATGAACTGTAATCCACCCTGATAGAGGGCAGGATAGGGTTCCCCTTGGGCAGGAGAGAGAAGGAGGGTCTGGGAGGGGTCCAGGTGTGTGTGTGTGGGGGGGTCTTCTCAGGGGTAGTGACGTTTTCTTATTTTATTTCGTATTCTCAGATGAGGGATCGCTCTGTCACCCAGGCTAGAGTGCAGTAGCGAGATTATAGCTCACTGCAGCCTCGAACCTGGGTCCACGCAATCCTCCTACTTCAGTCTCCTGAGCAGCTGGGACTACAGGGGCACACCATCTTGCCTGGCTAATTTTTCAAAATTATTTGTAGAGATAGGGTCTCATTCTGTTGTCCAGGCTGGTCTCGAACTCCCAGGCTCAAGCGATCCTCCCACCTCAGCCTCCCAAAATGCTGGGATAACAGGCGTTAAGCCACCGCACCCAGCTGGCAACGTTTTCAGTTCGGCGGCGTTCACTTGGGGAAAACTGCCGGGCTGTGTACTTACGATCCGTGCATTTTTTTCCACGTGGGTTATGTATACTTCAAGCAAAGCATTTATCACAAAACAGAGTAAAACGGGAGCAGAGGGAATGCGAACGATCAGCACAAGCCTCCCTTCGGGGTTGTGCCCAAAAGTGGGTAGAGAAACGGTGCCGTGGTGGAACCTTGGAGAAAGCGCAACTTCCGCCGTGGACCAAGGACGATTGCTCCTGGGCCGGGCCGGGGGGTCCTGGGAGCGCAGGAGCAGACTCCAACGCGTCCAGCATCCTCCCGCGACCCTGCAAAGTCCCTTCCCACTGCCCTCACGCCCCTTGGGGATCCACTCCTCCACTGCACCGCCCAGGTCCCGGGCTCCCTTCGGGCCGGCGCGCGGCGGGGGCTGGCAAACCCCGGCCCCGGCCCCGCCAGGTGCGCCGCAGCCCCTCCGTCCGCCCCGCCCCGCGTCTCCGCGTCCCCGCGTCCCCGCGGCGGGCGAGGCGGCGCCTGCCCCTCTGGGCCCATCACCCCAGCCTGTCCCCGGGTGCGGCGGCCGCGTGCCCTCGGGCCTCCGGGGCCTCCAAGTCTGCCTGCGAGGCCCGGGTCCGGTACTCCCGCGCCCTCGGGCCCAGGCCTCTTACCGGTGGAAGGTGAGCTGCTTCCTGCGGCTGCTGTAGCGGTTGCAGCACTGTCGGGCCGCGCACGACTTCGGCATCTCCAGAGCCAGGCCCGGCTGCCCCCAACAAAGATGGCGGCGGCGGGGCCGGCGGGGGCGACGGGGCCGCGGGGCGGGGCGGGGCCGCGGGGCGGGGCGGGGCCTGCCGGGAGGGGCGGGGCCGCCGGGAGGTGGTGACGGGCCTGGCTCGGCTCCGGGGCGCGCTCCTCCCGCGGTCCTCGCGACCCGCGTCTCCCCAGCGTCGGACGGGGCCCGGGGCGCTCCGGTCCCCAACTCAGGCCCGAAACGCCAACTCCTAGGCCTGGGCAGGTCTTACCCCATTCGCCAAAGCCGGTCGCTTCTCACCCCCTTGCTTCGAGCACCCAACCAGGACTCAGCCACCCACAGGCTTGG